GGTCCACTACAGGGTATTGTACTTTTTTGGGGGCAATTTGGTGACATGGAAGAGAAAGCAGAATGTGGTAGCAAGAAATAGTGCATAAGCTAAATATAGAGCTATGGCACACACAACATGTAAGCTTGTGTGGTTGAGGAACCTCTTACTATAGATCAGGTAAACAATTGATACCCTTGTGAAGCTATATTGTGACAACCAAGCTACAGTCTACATTTCTTCCAATCTACTTTCCATGAGAGAACAAAACATATAGAAGTTGATTGTCACTTTGTGAAAGAGAAGGTGCTCCGTGGAGTGATAAGTACAACATTTTTAAACACAAGAAGTCAATGGGCAGACTTATTCACCAAAGGGTTGAATTGGGGAAGAGTGGATTACATATGCAACAAGCCGGGACTATATGACATATAATCACCAGCTTGACGGGGGAGGGTTAGAGTCAGCTATATAGGTTGACGTAACCAGATTCTTAATAGATTGAAGGTTGAAAATTGTAAGAGTTGACTGTAAAGGGGTCGAATCAGCCTTACTCTTATTTTTCTTCTCTTCTCTTCCTTCTATTCTCTCTCTTCTCTCTTTTTCTCTGTTATTCTAGAACTAAAACCAGTACAAATCTAAATTTTATCAAATATGAACCAGTGAGAGCATAATACTAGGTGGGTCTGCCCTTCCCTCTCTTGAGGTGTTTGCCCATCTTTAGAGGATTTCTATTGGACCTACAGAAAACTCAACTTTATCTAATGGGTCTGCTTTGGCAATGACAAGAGGGGGAGGTCATGGAGGTAGAGGGCGAGCTCAAGGAGTTCAGCTAGGTCATGGTGGTGGTAGTGGTCCCATGTTCAATCATGGAGGTGGGCGCATTGGAGGTCAAAATTTGAAGGGCAGCTTGTGGTAGAGGGCATAGTAATTGTTCGAGGAAGTGAACGTACTATAGAATGGGGGAGACAATAAAATTTTGTTATGATCGACATGTTCCACCCACAACCTAAGCCCATCATGCAATGTCTAGTGATGGTGGTATGAGAGATGAAATTCAACACATTGATCATACACCTACATCTACAGATGCCTTCGAGAAAGAAATAACTACCCTTACCCACTCAGAAATGGCTTATCTAGCATCCAAACCTTCCCATTAGATTATCGACTTCCGATAATATGACCAAGACTCCAGGTGTGTTTTCTTTTCTTTCTCAATCTTGTACATCTCACACAGTTACTCTTGCTAATGGCTTCACATCTTCTATTTGTGGCATTAGTAATGTTAACATAGATTCATTACCCTTGTCTTTAGTTTTGTATGTTCCTAAATTCCCCTTTAACCTTATGTCTATTAGTAAATTGACCAAGCCTCTTAATTGCTCTATCACCTTTTACCCTTCTTTTTATGTTTTTCAAGCTCTCAAGACAGGGATGGAGATTGGTGGAGGGCATAAAGTTGATGGACTATATTATCCTGATGGAGTTGGTTCGTCAACAACTCTTCAAACATATCTTTCTCTCTAGTGGCACTACAGGCTTGGTCATCAATCTCTTAAGGCACTTAAATTACTTGTTTCGTCGTTGAGTTGTCTTTTTACTTTGGAATGTAAGTTGTGTTAGTATAGGAAACATCATTGTCTTCCCTTTAGTCCTAGGGTTGGTAATTGTATGTCGAATCCTTTTCTTTAGTCTATTCAAACATTTGGGGTCCAAATAAAATAGTTTCATACAATGGTTACAAGTATTTTGTAATTTTTGTTGATAATTATTCAAGGATGACATAGCATTATCTTATGAAAAAAAGGAGTGAAATCTTTTCCATTTTCAAAAAGTTTCATGATGAAATTTGAACTCAGTTTGTTATACACATTAAAATTCTTCATTCTGACAATGGTCAAGAATATTTCATCAAAGCACATGTACTTATACTCCTTAACAAAATAGGGTCGCTAGGAAAAAGAATCGGCCATCTATTAGAGGCCGCTCGATTCCTTTTGCACCATATGAATGTACTGATTGTTTTTGGAGTGATGCAATGCTTACATCTTGCTTCCTTATTAATCGGATGCCAATGTCTATCCTTGAAGGTCATTCTCCCTTCTCCGTTTTGTTCCCCACTTTGTCTCCTTTCCCTCTCACTCTAGGGATTTTGGATGTATGTTTTGTTCATAATCTTGGGCTTGGGATGGACAAATTAGATGCACGATCTACTAAGTGTGCTTTTCTTGGCTATTCCAGTACCCAGAAAGGGTATAAGTGTTATAATTTCAGTTCCCAACATTCTTTTGTTTCTCTAGATGTTACTTTCTTTGAGTTTCATTGAGGTGCTCAGCCCCACCTCCACTTCCTGTTCTAGTTGAGGACCCCATTCCACTTCCAATTGTAACCAAGCCCTCATCTCTAGTGCAGCTTCCTGCTAAACAACCACCAATCCGGCAATTGTTTCTACACCAAATTCACCCTCTCTCTCTGACCTTGACCTTCCAATTGCCTTGCGAAAAGGTAAATGCAATAACAGTCTTCACCACATTTCTAATTATAATTCTATATCTCACCTTTCTATTCATCGATAGTTTATTTCTCTACTATCTTTTGTTTTTATTCCTAAGGATGACCAAGAAGCCCTTACCTCTCCAGGATGACACCAAACAATGGAAGAACTCTCAGCTCTGGCTCATAATCATACATGGAACCTCACCACTCTCCCTCCTAGCAAGCATGTTATAGGGTGTAAGTGGGTACACACTATCAAGTATTTACCAGATGATAGTGTAGAGCGGTTGAAAACTTAGTTGGTTGCCAAAGGTTACTAACAATTGTATGGCATTGACTACACAAAGACCTTCTCTCTTGCTGCTAAGATTGACAGATCGTGGTTTGATATCTCTAGCTACTATGTATGATTAGCCTTTGTTTCAACTCGACATCAAGAATGCCTTTTTACATGGTGATCTTCTTGAGGAGGTCTATATGGACCAAGCACCAGGGTTTGTTGCTCAAGGGGAGGATGGTAAGGTGTGTAGACTCAAGAAGGCCATTTATGGACTTAAACAGTCTCCCCATGCATGGTTTGGCAAATTCAATGAAGTGGTAAAAGAATTTGGCATGAAACAATGTTAGGTTGATCATCTAGTATTTATCCATGATTCAAGTGTTGGGAAGATTTTATTGGTAATATATGTAGATGACATTGTTATTACCAATAGTGATAATTTGGGGATTGATAAGTTGAAGACCTTTCTACTTGATCACTTCCAAACAAAAGATCTAGGTAAATTAAAATATTTCTTGGGGATAAAGGTAGCAAGGCCTCAGCATGGTATTAATTTGTGCCAAAGGAAGTATGGTCTTGACTTATTAGAGGAGATAGGATTGTTTGTTACCAAACCAGCTAAAACACCAATGAAGCCAAATGTCAAGTTGAGTAGTGATGGAGGTAAGGAGTTTGAAGATCCTAGAAGATACCGGAGGTTGGTAGGTAAGTTAAACAATATGACGATTACTCGGTAGACATATCGTTGTAATTAGTGTAGTAAGTCGATTTATGCAGAATCCTCGGGTTCCACAATGGAATGCAATTCTAAGGATTGTACGATACTTGAAGGGAGCTCTAAGCATGGTTTGTTATACAAGAGTAGAGGTCTGAAACCAGTACAGATTATATCTGTAACACTAGGAAATAGGTTCCTACCACAATTGTTCCCAAAAGTTATTGCATTTCAAGTTTTCAAAATTATAGAATCTCTAATGAGACTCCTAAAAATTAAATAGCCCCTTTAAAATTATGAAAAACACTATTAAGAAGACACTAACAAACTAGGAAATTAAATTTGAAAGAACTAAAAATACTTAAGTCTAAATCATCTATAAATTACAAAGTTACCACTGGATGATAGATAGGAGAAAACTGATTTTCATCTAGTTGTCAGATTTATTTTACTTTTCCATGTAGGAGTGTGTTCTGTAGCATTGCTCCTTGCAAGATGCCCTTTGGTTGAGAATCAACCTCTCTCATGTATGTGTTTTGTACACACTTATAAACCTTCAAACTTCAATATAATAAGAAGAATAGAAAATATCAGAAAGAAGAGGAAAGAAAATTGATGAGAAGAAAAGCAGCAAATAGAGGCTATAAACTGTCTGCTCTTATTTACGATGGGTTACAGGAAGTAAAAAAAAAAAAGAAAAAAAACACTAAATAGTCATAACTAATGACAAAAGGCCCATACAACCAAACCAGAACGTTTGCATGAACACCCCACCTTTGGAAGGGCCTTGCAAGTGAACTCATGGCTGGCCCGTCGGACTCAGCTACAATGTGAACCAAGCATATTCACCAAAATGCTTGTCATGTTGTCTCTCCAAATTACAAAATGCTTCTATACAACAGTGATCCAACCATATAAAACATCCAAAAGGGGACTATAGCACTTGTGTTTTCCCAATTTATACATAATTTATGACCCATTGTTTATTGTATCTTCTCCAGTTAACATTAAAATCAGGACAATAAAGAAAAATTAGTGTGGTCATATAGCAAGTAGGCAGAGGCTGTGAGTTTAACTTATCGATTGTAAATTGCAACTCAACATTTTAAATTCTTATGCTTGTATCTCTCTATGAATTTTATGAACAATATTAAAAGCATTGTGACTAATATTTACAATAAAAAATTATTCATGTGAAATGCATCCAAGAGTCCAACTTTTTTAGGTTTACCGAGTTGGACTGTTAGACATATCACATTCTGGTTCTTGTGTCCATATCCATGCAACACTGAAGAAAAAAACATATATAACCTAAAATAAGAAAGACAATAATCCATACAACAAAAATTAAACATTTATGGTTTAACTCTCATTATATACCAATTAGTTGGAGAGACCCCTCATCTTGAGGAAACTTTGTTCGTAAACAGCAAAAATAGATTAGAACTCTTCTGCTAGGCTGCTTAACAATACTACCTGGAATATAATGCCAAAAAGTGCAGTGCTTCAGAAACGTAAAACACTTACCCGCATTCGTTGCTCTATTTCCAATTGCAATGTCAATTCTTCAACTTGCTTTTCCAACATATCTTTAGCAGCCTTCAGAGCACCAGCTTCCTTAGCAGCCTGTGTATATAGTCAGGACATCTTTTTCTTGATAAATTAGTCAGGACATATTATATATAAATTATTTAGAAAGTATCCACAAGAAATGAAACTTATCGATTTAAACAGCCATAGGGCTGTGGTGATTATAAGAGATAGGAGAGTATTGAATTGTATTACTATAGTCCCTGTTGTATCCTATGTTGTTCATTTCATGATCTTTTATTTCAGCCTTGTAAGGGAATTCATGTTCATATCTTATATACTTTAATATGTATTGACTCTTTGGGCGTTGAGGGGGGCGGGGGGGTCATCCTCTTGATACCCCTTTTATTCAGTTTCCCTCATATTTTCACTTTCAACCCTCTAGTCAGCACTGTTGATCTCCCTCGTTCCTGATTTGTTTGGACTGAAACTTTAGATTAGGTATCGCCCTAATCATTTGAAACAGATAGAAGAGTCAGATTTTGATTAAGACTTGATACAGGTTGTCTTAAGTCTCATCTTCTGCTGTGATTTTGGGACACAATATATTGCTATTTTGATAAATCAGATTTTGTTTCGATATCAGATCAGATTTCAGACTGGTTTACTTCAAGATAGCCTCAAGTTGCCTGATAAGATAGAAGCCATTCCTGCTAAACTTAATGGAGCCAACCATGGAACGTGGAAATTCGGTTTTGACTATTTTGTTTAAGGAAAAGGCCTAAAGGCTATTTGAATAGATTGGTTACTCAGCCTAGTGAAACAAAATGCAGACTTATCAGCAATGGATCTTAGATAATGGTAAACTGGTTTCCCAGATTCTTGTCTCAATCAACTCTAGCATTGCAATAACTATGAGGGGGATGTGCACTATCTATGACATATACCCCTATTTATAGAAGTTGATCATCAGTCTAACATGTCGCGGCAATATCAGATTGATTCAGAAATATTTTCTTTTGCCAAGGAGATAAGAAAATTCAGTAGTATTATGCGGGTTTTCTTGATTTCTAGGCAGAATATGAACCGGTACATATAGATCCCTCTATTCCAACAAACTGTGTTAAGTACCTATGGAAGCATTTTTGTGAAACAGAAGGTAAATTGGTTCCTTAAGAGACTCAAACCATAATATGAGATTATTAGATCCATTCTTATCAAATAATCAGACATTAGAAGTGTTTCCTACATTTAAACTATTTAATGCTATAGTTTGAGTTCATTTCAGAACACAAGTATCCTCCATTCAGATTTAGGGGGAGAATATACAGTAGAAATCACTGATTGCAGTTTTAGATGAATTCCTTGTGAAGAGAAAGAAGAAGAAGATGAAGAGTTTCAGCAGTAGAGAGAAGAGAGGAGAAGAAAAGGAGTGGGATGTCAAACAGAATTGAATTAGTTCTGGCCGCCAACCCCTCTTTGTATTATATACTCAAATTAAAAGAATAAGAGATAACAAGAATGACCTTAGCAGGGCAGCTACTTTAGTAGCTAAACAGTCACAACTTAAAAAACATAAACTAATGGGCCTAAAGCCCAATAACTTCCTAACTTAACAACTTAAAAATAAAAGATAAATAACTGGGCCCAATAACTAGAAATCGGCCCAACTCAACATATACTAATGGAGAATTTCAATCTAACTTAAAGAGCAACAAGAATGGACATACTATTAGTACGGTGCAGACACTGTAGCAAGAATCTCATGTCCCAACTTCATTTGGGTAGAAACAGCCAATACAGCTGTGTACTTGATGAACTATCATCCTACTACTATTCTTCAAAATACTTCCCCTTTCCAAAATTTGTTTGGTTGTTCTCCTAATCTTTCTCGTCTACATGTGATTGGTTGTCTCTGTTTTGTTCAACTTCCCCCACATGAACACACTAAACTTTCAACTAAATCTACTTTATGTGCCTTAGTGGGATATAGTATTGATCATAAGGGTTTCTTGTGTTATGATCCTTCTCTTCATCAAATATGTATTTCACATCATGTTGTGTTTCTTGAATATATCTCCTTTTCTTATGGTATTGCCTAGTTGTTTACTCTTATTTCTTTTTTGTAAAGTTTTGACTCACAATATATTCCAGGCTCATAGCCCATACACCTAACTCCCTTCAACCTACAAAACCTGATAAACAACCTTAACCTCTTTTTTTTTATTTTTCTTGACAATGGAATAGTTCTGGCAGTGCCAGATTCTATTAATATTTATAGGGCGTCTAAAATAAAAGGGAAAAAGACCCTTGTGCCACTGCTGTAAATAAAGTACAATAACAGAAAATAAAAAAGACTTTAAACCGACCAAACAGACCCTAACAAGACAAAATAATAAACAAGAAATAAAATAAACTATTTCAACACTCCCCCTCAAGTTGGAGCATAGATGTCAATGATGCCCAACTTGTCACACAAATCATTATGCCGCACATGATGAAGCCCCTTGGTGAAGATGTCTGCAAGTTGTTCTACTGAGATGACATATGGAGTGCACACTTCTCCACTCACAAGTTTTTCTCTAAGAAAATGCTTGTCCCTTACAATGTGTTTCGTCCTATCATGGAGGATTGGATTAGCAACAATGTTGATAGCAGCTTTATTGTCACAATAGAGTGACATAGGAATGTTAACTAAACCCAATTCACCTAACAAGTTTCTTATCCACATGACTTCAGCAACTCCATGAGACAAAGCTATGAATTCTGCTTCAGCACTGGATCTAGCCACCATACTTTGCTTCTTACTTCTCCAAGTGACCAATTTTCCTCCTACAAAAGTACAATACCCACTGGTAGACTTTCAATCATCGACTACCCCTGCCCAATCAGCATCAATATATACTTCCACCTTTAAATGTCCACGCTTCTAGAATAGCAAACCAGCTCTTGGAAACTTCTGGAGGTATCTAAGGATCCTCTCTGCAACTTCTTCAAAGTGAGTTGTCCTAGGATTGTGAATGAACTAACTAAGGACACCCACTGCATAAGCAAAATCAGGCCTGGTCATAGACAAATATAACAGTCTCCTTACAAGTCTCTGAAACTTCACATCTTTCAAGAACTCCCCCTGACTATCTCCCAGCTAATGGTTAGGTTCAATTGGTGAGTCAATTGGTTTCACCCCAACTTGCTTGTATCTTCTAGTAGATCTAGTACATATTTCTGTTGGAAAATAAAGATGCCCTTTTGAGAGCAGGAAACTTCAATTCCAAGGAAATAACGTAAGGGTCCTAGATCTTTCACGTCAAGTTGAGTGGCTAAGAATTTCTTCAGTTTCTGTATTCCAATCTCCCAGTCTCTTGTGATCACTATGTCATCCACATACACAATTAAAGCTACAATTTTCCCTTCACCTTTCTTCACAAACAGTGTGTGGTCTGATTGGCATTGTTTAAGCCCCATCTAGTGAACTGCTAAGTGGAACTTACTACACTAGGGCTGAGGTGATTGTTTCAACCAATATAAAGATTTTTTTAACCTGCACGCCTTCTGCTCACTACCTTTGGCACAAAAACCTGGAGGTTGAGTCATGTACACTTCATCTTCTAAATCACCATTCAAGAAAGCATTCTTAATGTCCAACTGGTGAAGTTCCCAGTCAAGATTTGCTGCCAATAAGAGAAGAATCCTGATAGAGTTCATCTTGGCTACTAGAGCAAATATCTCTGCATAGTCTACTCCATATACCTATGTAAAACCTTTTTCCACCAATCTGGCCTTGTACCTTTCAACAGTTCCATCAGCCTTATGCTTCACTGTGAGCACACACTTGCATCCCACTGGTTCCTTCCCTTCAGGAAGATCCACCAGGTTTTTGTGCAATGCATCAATTTCTTCCTTCAGGTTTGGATAAAGCTTTTGCCACATTCTTAGGAATAGAGACACTATCAACGGAAGAAAGGAATGCACGATATGAAGGTGAAATATTATCATAGGACACAAACTGAGAGATAGGATGATTAGTAGTACAGGATCTAACACCCTTTCTCTTAGCAATAGGAACATCAAGATTATTAATGACAGGGGAATCAACATTGAGAGGTTCAGGCATATCAATAGGAACAAGTGTACCTGCCTGATGAGGAGGATCTACCTCTGGAGAATCCGATGATGTTGGTTGCATAGTTTCAGGTTCCACAGCTCTTGAACTCTGCTGGCTCTTGTGGTGGTGAAGAAAGRCACAGAATGGAGGAGGATCAGGAAGATGAGGTAATTGAGTCTGAGCCTAGGTGTGTTTCTCCTCAACCCTACTCTCCCCCTGAGGAGAAACTGAGAACAAAGGTTGACTCTCAAAGAATGATACATCTACGAAGACATAGTACTTGCGTGAGGTGGGATCATAGCAATGACAACCCTTTTGAGATAAAGGGTAACCAAGAAAAACACAAGGAATAGCACGAGGATCAAGTTTACCGCAAGTAGGGGACAAGTTATGAACAAAACAATGACACACAAAAGCATGCATTGGAATGGGAGACAATGGAGTTGTAGGAAACAAAAGTTGATGTGGGGCCTTATACTCTAGTAACCGAGATGGCATGCGATGTATGTAGCACACAGAACAGCATCCATCCAAAAGCGTTTCGGAACATTCATATGGAGTAATAAACCATGAGCTACTTCGAGAAGGTAGTAGTTTTTCCTTTAAGCAACACCGTTTTGTTGGGGTGTCTTAGAACAAGAGCTTCGATGAAGAGATCCGCACGAAGCAAAGAACTCTGTGAGATCACTATGGAAGTACTCTTTTGCATTGCCCGACTAGAAAATATGAATTTTAGTTTGGAACTAAGTGAAAACCATGCATTGAAAGCCTTTCACAATTTTGGGCACTTCATCTCTAGATCGCATAGGGTAAACCCAAGTATATCTAAAGAGTAATCATCAATCAAAGTATAAAGTACTTATGTCCAACCTCAGTAAGTAGAGTAACAGGGCTCCAAACATCAAAATAGACAATATGAAAAGAAAATTCAGATCTCTTATTTMTTAAAGGAAAAGAAACTCTACAATGTTTGCTCAATTGACATGTCTGA